TCTGGTCAATTTAGAACATGTGACACGTTGTTCATCCAGTAGTACAGACCGCTGTCAAGGACTGTAATGACCGTTGCTAAGGAGGATCAAGAAAGAAAAAGGAAAAGAGGTTCAAATAAAAAAAAATCTTAATAATGAAATGTTTCCACACAAATCATAATGTTTTGCAAATTATTTGGCGGCCCACTTGCAATGCCTTCAAGGCCCACAGGTTGGGAACCACTGCAGTAGGGCATTTTGTGAATATTTAAAATCCCTAGCGATGCCTGAAAGGATATCCCAGTAATTGACTGGGGACTGTTTGAAAGAGGCATCTGATCAGTCATAAATAAAGGAGGGACAAGCCATTTAAAGGTTTGGCTGCGTAGTGTAAAAAATAAAATAAAATAGAGAGATAGACAATATGTTGAATGAATGAATTCTTCTTTTTTTTAATGTATGTGGTCGTTTTCCAGTCTGGTTGTGTCCACTGCTCAGTGCCAGTGTTCTGGAGGATCTACAGTGCAGAGCTGCTGTTCTGTCCCACACCTCGGTGTTATATTTGCCACTCCTGTTCGACTCTGCCTTTTTAATAACTGTGACTGTATCACAGAATCCCACTAATGTGGAAGGGACTCTGGCATGGCAAATTCATGGATTCTGCACCCAACTCTATAATACATCGCTTACGTCTCTACTGCAAATTAAGCATTTTACAGGACCTCTCTAAGCACTTCCTGTTTTATCACTAGCGATGGCTGATCATACATCAGCTGGCAATGAATGGATGAAGATCACTACCAGCTCTGTGATTTGTTTGCTTTGCCATGTAGCCTGAAAGTATCAGGATATATTTAGATTTCTAAAGGCTCTGCTAACGTAACTTAGCAGATGTTGGAGAGTCATATGGATGTTGGTGTAACAGAGACCCCCTCAGGTATTCTCATTATTCTACTACTGAGCAGATGGCAGAGAAACTTACGACACTTACCATTATCCATCATACATATTCTGCTCCCAATTTACATAGCCGCTGCATCACAGGAGCTCCTACAGGGAGAGTACCTAGCTCCAGGAATGCACCGCAGCTCCACCTGAGGCTCAGGAAGACAGTCTGAGATGTCACTGCCACTGCACCTCAAACTCAAATATGCTAATGGTTGTACAGAGGAATTCCAGTGGGTGCATCCCAGTTGTATATATTGAATTGTGAGGAGGAAAATTCTTCAGCTTGATGATTTTTAAATAGTGTAATATCAAGGAGAATTTATTTTCGCTACAAAACCGCCTCTATAAGATGGTTATAAAGTAACTTTTATAGCAATTGAGCGGTTGTATTTTCCAAAGTGTCTTAGCCTCAGTTGTAACAAATTAAATGTACAATCAAGACTTAGCAATAACTTTCTGCTGCAGAGCTCCTGGCTCAGCCCTACCTCCGGAGCTGGGACCAACCTGCATTGTATCTTGGTCTCATTTGTGTTATCACGTGTGTTACGGTGGAAAAAAGTGTGTTCATCAAGCTTATTTACTGTATCAGCAAAATACATGCAGCTGTATTTTAAAGCGCAATGTATTGTTTTATTGTATCAGGCAGGTCTATGACACATAACCTTTACAACCTTAATTTTTCTACGTGACTATAACTCATTAAGTGAGGTAACTTTAACCAGTAAATAAGGCACTAACTTTATGAGTTTGCTAATGTTAGCTAGCTATGCTGATGTCGCAAACTAAAGTGTCGAAAAGCGCAACGGGAAAAATACAAATGTAATGTTCTAACTAGTCTTCTTACGACATTAGCATGGCTACCAAACTTTATCAAAAGCATTAGTTTAATACAAGTTATTTTCTACTGAGCTTAACCTACATTTATAAGTTACAGTTATTAGATTACCATATTGTTTACATTGGTGTTTTGAGTGGAGGTTTGAGTGGCTTATTATTCAAACCATAGATGCGTGCTATCTGATGATGAACATCTCTGGCATACACCATTTTTGACACCACCTACTCCTCCGAACTCAGGCCTGAAAGAGAGCGAGGGAGAAGGTGGAGGCTTAACTTCTTCAGCCAGACCCTTTTCCAAAGTTTTCCAAGAGATTTTCAACTCTTCATAAATAATACCTAAGGATGTTTTCTTAGCCATGAATATTTAAAGTTACATTTAAACATTTCTGATCCTAGCTGCACTTTGTTGCCGTGTTCTTACAAGTGAGTCCCTGCTGTGTTTGTTCTGATGCATGCGCACAATACAGGGGATGTGAGACATCTCTGCCACTGGTTTCTATCTACAGATGTACAGGTGTCTGTAACTTGCCAAGAAATGCAGGGGTGTAACAAGAAATGCAGGGAAGAAGACAACAAGTAAACATAAAGAATGCAGTTTTAAAAGAAAAATACACACTTTTTTATATCATAAAGATTATGTATAAAAATGTAAAGCAGGTTTCCAGGGGCTTTGGTTGTTTTCAACAGGAATTGAAGGAATTTTTTCTCATTTCAATGTACTGTATTTCTAAGCAACGCATTGGTTCAGCAGGACATTGTTTACAGTGATTTATTTTCCGCTAAAATGGATTAATATCACAGGTAGCGGTCATTGACACATTTAACTCTGGTTTGAATTGAATCTGCTCACAATACAACCCTGTGCCACTCTTGTATTTACATATTATGTGTGTCACACATGTATACATGCATGCTGATGATTTGCACAGCACTGTTCATACTTTAGTTCCACACTGGAGCTCTATTTCTCTGCCTCTCCTCCTCCTCCTCCTCCTCCTCCTCCTCCTCCTCCTCCTCCTCCTCCTCCTCCTCCTCTCTTCCCTCTGAATGGCTCTCAGTGGCGGAGAGGAGCCGCGGCAGCGAGGCAGCTCTGGGCCTGAAGGGCACTTTTCAGCCTGGCCAGACACACTCGGGCCTTGCTGCTTGGCTGCGCAACATGGGTCACCGCCTTACATTAGGAGGACCCTGCCAGAGCCAGCCAAGCGCAGCCCTGCAACATACCTGAAAATGAATGTCTCTGCTCCCATTCCTCCTGCAACAAAAACAAGCGTGTCTGATTGTGCTCAGAAATGAAATACGAGCATCACAAAGGTGCTTTACATAAAGATGGCTCATCAGAGGATGGATTTCCAGCCATAAATCTTTAATCACATTATCTTTGCAATGATTATAACAAACCAAAGGGCTGGCCAGTAGTTTGGGTTATATCTTGGCACAGCGTGGAGATGAAATGTTCTCATGTGCGCCTAGGTGCATGGCTGGATCTAGGGGGGGGGGGGGGGGGGGGGGGGATGGTGGCCAGAGCCCCTGTAACAATGAGCTTTGACCCCCTCTGCAATACAATTGTAGGCAGAGATGGGGTCGTTACTAAAAAAAAGTAATATATTACATATTACATATTACTTTAAAAAAAAGTAATATATTACACTACTTCGTTACTCTCTCAATAAAGTAACTCGTTACTTTACTTGTTACTTTACTCGCAGGGCCGGCCGGCCCCTCCCTACAGGCAGATCACGCAGACTGCTAAAGTTTCAAATGTTCTCTTTAGTTCAGTTTCCATTGTCGCATAAGACTGATCCAGATAGCTCTGACCATGGCTGTCCTCTGTCTCCTGCTATCTGTATTTTGCGCAGTATATCTCTGAACGATGCGATGGTGATTCCACTGTGCAAATGGGCAACATTACCTCTACTATGAAGGATGCTACAAGCCTGTCCATCTCTGCTTTGGTTACCGGTCCTCCAAATTCTAATTTGTGCCGCTTCAGAGTCGGCGGCGGCGCACTCACAACATCCTCACTCTGGGTTCGGGGGTCCTTAGCTATTAGCTTCACCTTAGCATGTGTTCTTTGCAGGTGTTTGTTGAGGTTTGACGTGGTGTTTGCAGCAGTGGATAACAGCTTCTGGCCTGGACACAGTTTGCACCTCACCGCCACATTCCTGTCTATTCTTCGGACGAACTCAAAATACAAGTACAAGTCGCGCAGATTACGTACATATAAACCTGCGGCGGAAACCCCTCTTGTCTGTCAGTGTGATTATGACTGATTTTATAAAAGTAACGAAGTAACGCGTGTCGGGGCAATGTTAGTAACTGTAGTGTGATTACTGAATTATAAAAGTAACGCGTTACACTACTCCGTTACCGACAAAAGTAATATTATTACAGTAACGCGTTACTTTGTAACGCGTTACACCCAACTCTGATTGTAGGTAGCATTGTGCTGTAGCTAGCTGAAGTTATCTGGAATGTATTTTGTTTACCGTAATATAATTTAATACAAAATTGACTACTTCAATTCTGTCACTAAAAAACCCACCAATAATATTGTATGTGTTGTTTTGTGCGCTATGACGTCATACAAATTAAAATGCTGAACACTGTCACTGTCTCTTTTGTCCCTCATTAAATATGCACTGAAAAAATTGATATGTTGACTTTAATTAAATTATGTCAACAGATTACACATAACTCTATTAGGTAAGTTGAAGGCGATAATATTAAGTTTAGAAACAAAAATATTTGGTTCAACTTAATATTATTGATTTCAACTAACCTACAGTTGTACATAATACATTTAATTAAAGTCAACGTTTCAGTTTATCAGTTTGTCCCTCTTAAAATAACCGGCCCCAGCATGGCCCCACAAGTAAAATGGGTCTTGAACCGCCCCTGCCTGGGTGCTCCTGCTGGGGTCAGAGGGGGGGACTGGAGCAGACCCTCGGTGTCAGCCTCTCTTATTTATTTGGAGTTGAGTCTCTATTCATCACTCCGTAGAGTCTTCCACATCTCCCGCCTCTCCTCTGCATCCACCTTTACTGTGCAATGATCGACGTTTCATGAGAGGCACCTCAAGGTGGGGCTAAATGGTCTGATATTCCCAATCATGTCGCGGAGGCGGAGTCTGCCTCATGCTCCAGCCTGTACTGTACATGACAAAAGCAAAAGGGGGATGGAGTGAGTGAAATAAATCCACACTTCTTATTTCTCACAACCACTTTTTTTATTGTAATTTGGCAGGAGGAGCGGGATCACTGCGCCACATTACAAGAGAAACGTGTCCCAGTTCATGTTCAGCAGCCTCTTTACGCACACCCCGCTCTCAGTGAAGGCAGCAGCTCTTCAGATCAGATTTCACATTCTGCTCCGACCAGCTGAGAGAGAGGCAGCCAGAGCAAGAGGGCTCGGATCTCCGCTTTCCCCCCCATACGCACCCCCGCGCCACAAGCAGCGAGGAACCACCGGGCGCAAATATTTTAAACACCACTGGGATTTTTTTCCCCTTTCTTTTTTTCCTCCTTTTTATGCATTTTTGCAGGATTTCAGCAGCGAGAGCTCCACTGAGAATTAGATAAGAGCGAGGAAGAGATGGACGAGCAGACGCGGCTGATGCACTCTCACTCCGGGGTAGGCATGGCAGGGCACCCCGGCCTGCCGCAGCACATGCAGGAAGGCACCGGAGGGTCGGACGGCGACGGGAGGAAACAGGACATTGGAGACATTTTACAGCAAATTATGACCATCACGGACCAGAGCCTGGACGAAGCGCAAGCCAGGTAAACATGTCCATCCGGGGAGAGGCGGCAAAAACTATGCCCACATTAAAAAAGAAGGGGGAAGAAAAACTAGAAAATATATTTTAGATTTTTTAAATCTGCAATAAAGTGGATTGTAAATGGGAGTGTAGAAATAATGGGTTTGCAGAGCGTTGAGCCGATTAAACTGACGATGGCATGCCCGCACACTCCACAGGAATAAGTCGCTCCTGGAAGAGAACATTTAAGTATATTACTGTCAGATGCCAACGTGTCGCCCACGGACTGCATTTTTAAATAACTTTAATAAAGTCAAGGTGCATTCACAAAACCAAATAAAAATATTTCTTCTAAATTTGAAATATAATTACTGACTTTAAAGTGTCTTTACGCTTGTTTACAGCAAATATATTCCCTTATTTTTGATACTCAATTATTACATTTTGTGTAATCCTCTGAATTGAGTAAAGCTGACATTTCAAATATTATTAATAAAGTTGGTCAAAAAAGCAGTAATCTATGCATTTTTTTAAACCACAGAACACCAGATATATCTAATGAAAAGGGTTCACTTGGAGAACATGTGAACACATAGAGATGTTAATAAACAATTTGTATTTATTTATTATAATTTGTATCTGTAATTGTACTTCAGCATTTATCTAAAATGTTAAAAAAAATGGTTAGCATGCAGCCTTGTCCATAATTTAGATGTTTTAGATGTAGTGTGTGTGTGAGTGTGTGTGTGTGATGATGATGAGGCCACTCTTGTGTTGCAGGAAACACGCTCTGAACTGTCACAGAATGAAGCCAGCTCTTTTCAATGTCTTGTGTGAAATCAAAGAGAAAACAGGTACGTTCACATTCATTCTGCTCTATAACAAGAAATACCACACTGTAGTAGAAATACTCCTTAACAAGGTGAAACACACACACACTATTCCTCACTAATGGTAGCTAGAAAAACCCCAGCAGCTCTGTGCGGGCTATCTGACCATGAAAGGGTAATTTGCTCATCAGATCTGAGCAGAACCTGGTGTAGGATATGCCGTCACAACACAATCCAGAATATAAATGTCCCTGACACGTGTTTCCTCCTGTAGCTCATAAAGTCGTTTTTAACTCTTTCACAAAAGGAACTGTGGACAATTACTTCCAGCGGTCCTTATCAATTATCATGTCAAAATAAGAATGAGTTTTTTTGTTGTAATGCTATTGTGCAATAATAGAGAATAAAATGGTCACAAGCATGTTGATGTCTCCCCTTGTGAGCTAACTGTCAACTCTGGTGAATACGTCTCTTTCTATTGCGTATTGTGTCTCTCTATTAAAGCGGTTGTGAGGGAGCGTGTCAGCAGAATAATTGCTAGTAGAGAAATAACGTAACTCAGGAGGCGTAAGTCATGTTTCCAAATCAGTTTCCTTGTGACATTTCTGAAATTGGCACAGATGGAATTCAGTGCACTTCAGACTGATAGCTCATCTTTTTATTTCCTGTCTTTAGACTGATAGGACTCTTCAGAAGTTACACTGCTGAGATATGGCGTTGCTTTCTGCGTGTTTCACACTCATTAGCATGTGAAATCGAGTGGAAAGGATGAGGATGAGGAAGATGTTGCTTCCTCTAAAGTTGCTCTTCATACTTGACCTTTGTTGTGTTGTTTCTGGTGCTTCATGGAAGCTCTCACTGAGGTTTCCATGGAAGTTCACCACGGCAGTTCATATTGAGTCGGCCCCTGCCTCAGGAGGGAGCGGAGGGGGGGCCTTTTGAAGCCCTCTGTTGTCTTGGTAGGTTTTTAGGAGGGGGAGTGACACAGTTATGCATAGTGTTTTACTCCCTGGCGCTCCTCGGAGTTCATCCAAAGTTCGGCTCTGCTGAGAGTACAAAGTAGCCTGGACCCTTCCTGCCTGTAAGCCATTCTTCTCTGTTTCTGCTGGCAACCTATAAATACTGAGGTGCAGCTCAGGAGCGTTACACTGGAGATCTGCTGTCCTGTTTGTGGAAACTTTATTCATCTGCTTTGTTCTAGTGAGAAACAGTTCAGACACTTTCACTTAGTTTGGTTTACTTCAGAGATGGGATGGTGCAAATTAATAAATACGCAAGGTAAAAAAGGAAGTCATTGCCAAAAGCATTTTATTCATCTGTCATTTCTGCAACAAAAGGGCGTGCAGATTAAATATTTGAATACAGTTGTTACAGCAGCTTCTACATATAGAAACACATTATCCGAACCCAAATATATATATAGTTTAACATTTACTATATTAATTAATTTACATTTTAGTATTGTGTTTTACCTTGTGTGAATCTGTACTGTCCTGTTTTTCACTCTCACTCTGTTGCTGCTTTAACTCCTGAATTTCCCCAATGGGATAAAGAAAGATCCATCTTATCTTATTATCAACCAGCAGGACATAGATAGAGTTTAGTGTTGATGTTAGGATGTAGTATTCATGGTTATTGGTTACTAAAATATCTAGATGTTATTTCTATGATCTGAGATGGAATTATACTCCACTGACTCTTATTCTGGTCATTTTTGGATTTATTAATTTAATATTTATTTTAAAGGTTTGTTAAATTTGTGTTACATTCATTTGTGTTAAAGCATTGGCTACGGTAAATCATATCTCTATAAGTTGTGAGTTAAAACACTTATTCAACCTTTTCCATACCCAAAGCGGTGGCTTTGCTGTCACTTCCTGTAAATACTGTTAAAAAGATCCAGGTCCACATATCACGTCGGTCAAAAAACACAACTTCTCGTGAAAAAGTCATGATATGAATGTTGTGCTTCATTAGGTCCGCTCCTCACAGATAGAGCCTGATAAGGAATGATGCACATGTGACCAGCACCCTCCTGCTGACCTCAGGGTGCTGAGGCTCACAGTCGGACGTTGTCAGTATTGTTTTGCTCATGTCTCTGAAATAGTTCGATATAAACTGACTTGTGTAGAATGTTTTTAAAATAGTCGCAGCTTGTTGCTCCCTCTAGATTGCTCTCCTTTGGGAATGAATTATTATCTATTAAAATGACTGACGAGGATAAAACGTGTTTATTCTCATGTGCTTTTTACTTGAAGTTGTATGGATGTCTGGAAGTTAAATGACAGCTGTGAGGGTCAATGGAGGTTCTAATTATTCTGATGTTGGGAAGTCGGTTGTATCGTAGTATTGGTCGTTTTGAAGTTTGCTGAAACTAACGGTTAATTTTATTATTGATGATATTGTCTTCTTGGTTTGTAAATACCAAAAATATGCTTGCACAAAAGTGAGTTGTTTTGTCGGTCAAACTTTTTCAAGTATTCATTTTAATATGATATAAAACGAAGAAAAAGAGAAAGACGTTTGTGTGGCTGAAAACAGTATTCTGCCATTTTTCCATGAAAAGAATAACTAAAAACTGAACTTTATTTAAATGACTTAAGATTAACAATTAAAACAGTGGCCAATACATCTTCTGTGGATTCACTTGTTTTTATTTAATGATGTCTTTATTAAACAAGGACCATGCATAAAAACACATTATTCTCAAAGAGAGAAAAGATGCTATATTATAGCTAAAAGCTCATTTCCATCTGCAATGGTTGCAGTTCTGTACTCTATGAACAAAAGTATCTTCTTCAGGTTCTATATACTGACGTTACATTAAGGCTTTGAGAGATGGCTGAAAGAATCAAAAATGTAACTTTGTTTTTCTTGCTATTGGAATTATAACGGTATTTGAGTGATAGAACCTGGTCCGAAGAAACAAAGCGTCCTGTCCTACCAACGTTCCCTCCTTTAAATATTTCAGAGTGCATGTAGTCCAACAGTTTCAGCTGTAGCATGTACAGTGTGTATCCTCAGTGTGTATCCTCAGTGTGTATCCTCAGTGTGTATCCTCAGAGTGTATCCTCAGTGTGTATCCTCAGTGTGTATCCTCAGAGTGTATCCTCAGTGTGTATCCTCAGAGTGTATCCTCAGTGTGTATCCTCAGAGTGTATCCTCAGAGTGTATCCTCACAGTGTAGCTGCTTGTGTATATTTTCGGCCCCGCAGCGGCTGACAGCACCTGCAGGAACAATGCCAGTGTTGATCTAGGGCTTGAACTCTTGACCCCCTCTGTGTATTTTTACTGGGCTGGAGTGAGGGATGGCCAACAGAAATATTGTGCAGTATAAACAAACAATGGTGCAGCAACACTCGAGAGGAAGGAACACTTTATTTAAACCACGCTCGCTTTTTTAAAATTCTTATTCTGACAGAAACCGTCTTTTCCCGGTTTCATTCCAGGCATATTTGGGTTGTCTTTTTTACTTCAAAGGAATCCTGTCAGACACCGTGCATGTTTGTGTGTGTGGCATTCCTAAGAAGAGATGAAGCGTAAAAATATATAAAGCATATTAAATATTGTCCAAAATGTGGAGCAAAGGTAAAAACAGTGCGGCTTGTTTTGTTTTGTCGGTCCCGGCAACGCTCTGTTAGGAGACGTTCCAAAAATATATCCAAACTATTTGACTCCGCTGCTATTGGCCCGTGAAACCTAACCCTTCCACTAACTGAAGGTAACAGGCTGGTAAATATCTAACAACCTAATCCAAGTGTTCTCTATGTGTAATATATCTTTGTAAAAACACTGATACTTTTAACAGTTTTCTCCTCACCATCAGTTTTTTATGATTGATGAAAAGGCCTCTTTAGATAAGCAAATGCATGACAAACTGATTTGGAAAATGAGCCGCCTTGACCTCTGTAAACACTTCACCAACATCATAAATCTCGGCAGTGTCAAACAGAACCACTCCTTGACTGAGCGGCTCAGTAAATGTGCTGCTCTGACTTGCTGTTTAATTTTTTTCCCTCAACCTCAACAAAAGGCCAGCTTTCTTGTGGCCCCGTGTTTGTGTAGTGTAAGGTTTCAGGCCTAAGGGATCCTCCATTTATAAAAATGACTGGCCGAGTGATGTAATGTTATTTCTTGAAGGGTGAAAATAGGGTGTTTTACGGAGGGCAGCGAGGAGTGTTTGACAGATGAAATGAGCCAGAGGTCTGATTATGGAAGGTGCTTGGAAGCCTTCACTACATCGACTCGTCCATTCAGACGCCCGCCGTCTGCCTGTGTGTTTTACAGGCTGCCCGTCACTGTGTGTGCACCTCATGGGGATCAGGTAGCCCACTGGTCAAACAATTAGCCCACTAATTCATTTGTCTATTGACCTAAAATGAATCCTTAAAGTTTTGATGAGTCATGATTAAAGGAACACCCTAAGTGTTTTGTTTCTGGCTCTCTTTGCTGTATATCATTTTAAACTTAATATATTTTGGATTGTAAGTCAGGCTGTTAACAAACATTTGTTCAATATCGATTATCTTTGAAAATTATTTTCCAGATTATTAAATTCATGGTTTGGTCTATAAATTATGAATAACTGTGGAAAATAGTCACCACATTGAGAGGAGAGCTTGTTTTTTGCTTTAACTTCTAAAAAAATGCCAATAATATTAAAGACTAGACATTTGAACTCTGTGTGATTGAGATTCACATTTCAAGAAAAGTTGCCAATTCTCACTATTAGGAACCTGGTACCACATTTAGTCATTTTTGCTTTTAAAATAACACACACACAAATATTTTAAATACGTAAAAATGTGTCAATTCTTTCAAATAGTTGACGATACATTTTCTGTATCAGTTAAATTCAAATTCCTACAGCTTAAAGGTGGGGTATGTAATTCACTTCAGAAACACTTTTAGTTATATTCCATGGAATGCTCTTAACATCCCGATAGCAATGAATACATTAAATGCATTGACAATAAATACATAAAAAAATATCATCTGTGGAAGCCGTAATACTGTAAAAAGCA